CAAAAAAAAAAAAAAAGATCTGTAAGTTCTACACTGATCCCCTGCACATTGGTCCTGGCAAGCAGCTGCCCAACCTCCACTTACACGCCCCCTGGGGCAGGAAGCTCACTACTCCCCTCCCCAGGCAGTTCTTTCCATCTGGGCCACTTGCACTCTGAGTGTTGGAAGTTCTCCCTCTGGCTGAACTGGAATCCTGTGTCCTGTGGCTTCCTGCCCCTGCTCACCCTCACCCAGGGGCTTATCCTCACCATAGGGGAGATATTAACAGCTGAGGTCTGTGCAGAACCCCCACAGCAGGGCCTTCTGTCTGCTCAGGGGTAGGCTGAATGAATCCCCTCGCAAGATGTCTACGTCCTAATCTCCGCAACCTGTGAATGCTACCTACCATATATGAAAAGATACACTTTGTAAGCCAGGCGCGGTGGCGCACACCTGTAATCCCAGCACTTTGGGAGACTGAGGCAGGTGGATCACTTGAGGTCAGGAGTTTGAGACCAGCCTGGCCAACATGGTGAAACCCAGTCTCTACTAAAAATACAAAAAAAAAATTAGCCGGGTGTGGTGGCGGGTGCCTGTAATCCCAGCTACTCGGGAGGCTGAGGCAGGAGAATCACTTGATCCCGGGAGGCAGACACTGCAGTCAGCCAAGATTATATCATTGCACTCCAGCCTAGGCAACAAGATTGAAACTCTGTCTCAAAAAAAAAACAAAAAATAGACAGGCACGGTGGCGTGCACCTGTGGTCCCAGCTACTTGGGAGGCTGAGGTGGGAGGATTGCTTGAACCTGGGAGGTTGTGACTGCAGTGAACTGTGTTTGTACCACTGCATTCCAGCCTGGTGACAGAGTCAGACCTTGACTCAAAAAAGAAATAAAAGAAGGAAGGAAAGGGAGGAAGGGAAGGAAGGGAGGAGGGGAGGGAAAGGGAAAGAGAGAAGGAAGGAAAGGAAAGGAGAGGAGAGAAGAAAAAAAAAGAAAAGAAAACCCAGGCGCGGTGGCTCACGCCTGTAATCCCAGCGCTTTGGGAGGCCGAGGCAGGCAGATCACAAGGTCAGGAGTTCAAGACCAGCCTGGCCAACATGGTGAAACCCCATCTCTACTAAAAATACAAAAATTAGCTGGGTGTGGTGGCGCATGCCTGTAATCCCAGCTACTCGGGAGGCTGAGGCAGGAGAATTGCTTGAACCTAGGAGGTGGAGGTTGCAGTGAGCCGAGATCGTGCCATTGCACTCCAGCCTGGGCAACAGAGCGAGATTCTGTCTCAAAAAAAGAAAGAGAGAGAGGAGAAGAGAAGAGAAGAAGGTATGTTCAGCATAGGGCCTGAACCAAAGTAAAAGCTTAATAAGTAATGATAAGAAAAGGGAAGAAAGTTCTGGGCAAAGGGCATGGCTGAGGCCAGGGAGAAGCCAAGGATGTTCTGGAAGTTACACGGAGTTCTCTCTGGGCATCAGGGAGTGAGGCAGAGGCAAGAGAGGAAGAGGAGGAGGAGGAGGGAAGGAAGGGGGGAGGAGGGAAGGAGGAGGAGGAGTAGGGAAGGAGGGGGAAGGAGGGAAGGAGGA